TCGCAACAGCATTGATGGAACTGGAGAGCATTATGCTAAGTGAAATAAGCCAGTCAGAGAAAGATAAATACCACATGATCTCACTCATTTGTGGATTATAGAGAACAACATAGACTGATGAAAAGGGACAGACCCAAAGACTGAGAAACAGTGATCAGGCTATCAAACCCCAGAAGGAAAGTAGGGGAGGGCAGGGGTAAGGGGAAGAGATCAACCGAAGGACTTGTATACATGTATATAAGCCAAACCAATGGACATGGACAACAGGGGGATGGGATTGTGAGTGTGTGGGGGAGAGTTTGGGGGTTAATGGGGGAGATGAGGATACATTTGTAATACTTTAACTAATAATAATAATAATAATAAAAATTATTTTGGAGAATAAAGTGTGAAAAAAAAAGAAGTATAGTTAACCTAGAATTCTTTTGGTTTCCATTTTCATGGAATATATTATTCCAGCCCTTTATACTCAGTTGGTATGCATCCTTACATCTGAAGTGAGTCTCTTGTAGGCATCATATATGTGGATCTTGTTTTTTATACATTTAGCTATTCTTTTGAGAGAGATTTTATTCCATTTACATTTAAAGTAATTATTGATAGCTACGTACTTATTGCCATTTTATTCATTTTTTTTCTGGCTGTTTAAAACTTTTCATTTCCTCTTCTCTTACTCTTTTTCTTTGGGATTTATTTTTTTTATAGCAGTATACTTAGATTCCTTTTATCTTATCCTTTGTGTACATATTACAGGTTTTGGCTTGTGGTTAGCATGAGACATAAAACAACTTATATTTGTAACAGTATGTTTTAAGATGAAAACAACTTCTGTTTATACATATCGTGAGACTACATTTTTGCATCCTCCATCACATTTTATGTTTTTGGTGTCACAATTAAATCTTTTTATCTTAACAAATTATTGAAGCTATGATTGTTTTTACTACTTTGGTCTTTTAACCTTCATAAGTAGCTTTGTAAGTGATTAACACCATCCCTCCATCTTTACAACATTATATCAAATTTGGAGATACATAGATATATATCAGTGAGATTTAAACTTTCATATGTTTTCCTGTTATTAATTAACTAGAGGCCCGGTACATGAAAATTTGTGCACTGTTGGGGGGTCCCCTCAGCCTGGCCTGCCCCCTCTCACAGTCCAGGAGCCCTCAGGGGATGTCCTGACAGCTTAGGCCCGCTGCCCCACCAAGAGGTGGAAGAGTGGACGGGCCTAACCTACAGTCTGGCCACCCTCTGCGGGAGGCAACCAGGCGATCAGGGGAAGGCATGTCCCATCACCCCTCTGCTGATGCCAGTGATGGCCACGAGGCTGCCTGAGCCACGGCCCTCGAAGCCAATGCAGCTTGCCTGAGCCTCAGGCCCTCAAAGTGGCTTGCCTGGGCCTCTGACCGCCCTGGGCAGCAGCAGCTGCCATCAGAGGTTTGTCTGAGCCTCGGGCCAGCCCTGGGCAGCGACAGCCGCCATCTGCTCCCCTGATGCACCTCCTGGTCCAGTCCCTGCCAGAGCCACCGTGTCAAGTTCCCGCCCATCCGCGCATGCCTCGCACTCACACAGCCCCGCCCACCACAGGAGCCACTGTGCAGGCGGCCTCCTAGGGCGTCACAGCGTGAGGGAGTGACGACCACATAGGCTTTTATCAGTATAGATACCCTTTCATTTCAGCTAAAGATGTTCCCTTTAACATTCTTGTGAGACCAGTCAACCAATGATGACCGTTAGCTTTTGCTTCTGAAAAACTTCTGTTTTCTACCCTTCCTTCCCCTCTGCCTTTGGAAGAGTCAGAAATAAATAAAATTCCCTAAATAAAGCTACATAATTATCTCAGGTCTTTGTTTTCTAAGAATACTGAAACATTATTCTTACATGAATAGATATGCAATATCATGAGGCCTTAGGGTAAGGTAAGATTTTTTCCATTCTAAAAATCTCTGCAATAATTCATCTGCCTCACCAACTGTAGAAATCTTATTTTTGTCTGACCACAACTCCAATGATGACAACACAATAGTAACATTAAGTTGGGCAAATACCTAAAAACAAAAGAGATAATACATGAAAAAATTATCTTTGTGTTATTTTTAATGACTGAGAAATTAATTCAATGTTTTGACATATTTATGCTCAGTTTATGTGGACAATTATTCAGAAGTGCCACATCAAGTTAATAAAGATTATAATTTTAAAACTACTATGAATTTTTCAAAATTAGTATGAAAATACTCACCGAATTTACAAGGCCAATAATTTCGATTACTTTATCTGTTGCTAACATGCTATCAGAGCCCAAATAATCATACTGAAAAACAAAATTAATTTTAAATTTAAATAAAAGTTTGTTATGCAACATGTTTAAGATTTACTCTCCATCTACTCTCAGAGGATTGAGGCTGCTTTGGGGTTAGAACCATTATAAATAAACCAGTAACAAATAAAAAAAAATGGATGAAAATTAAATCCCTCATATATGCTGGTGGGAATGTAAAATTATTCAGCCACTCTGGAAAGTAGTTTTGGAATGTCTTTCAAAACAAATAATGGCCTTACCACATGACCCAGCTGTAGTCCTAGGCATTTATCCTCCCAAAATAAAAACTAATACCTCTGCCAGAAAACAAACAAACAAAAAACCCTACACATAAGTGTTCATAACAGTTGTATTCTTAAAGTCCAAAAACTAGAAACAACTCATAAATCTTTCAATGTGTTAACCTGTTAAACAAACTGTGGCATAATCCATGGAATACTACTCAGTAATTAAAAAGAACTGAACTTTTAATACATGGAATAGTTTGGATAAACCCTAAGAAAAGTATGCTGAGTGTAAAAGAAATCTCAAAAGGACACATACTACATGATAACATTTATGCAATATTGCTGAAATCACAAATATAAAGAACATATTAGTAACTGCCAGGGGTTAGAAAGTGTAGGAAGAGAACATGACTGTTATTCTAAGAGGAAAACATGAAAGAGGCGTGTGGTTATGGATAGTTGAGTGTCATGACTGTGGGGTAGTTATGCAAGGCTACATTTGTGATACTTCCACATAAAACTACACACACACACACACACACGTGTGTTTACATAATTGTTGAAATCTGAATAGGTTATATGGCAGTAACAATGTCATATCCTGTATCTATAAATCATAACTCTGAAGTTCAGTATCCCTTTGATGTTCCACATGACCCTCAAATTAAACATATCCAAACTAAGTTCCTCATCCATACTCAAAAAATCAGCTCCTTACATTTCCATTACTACAGTGAGTGTTATCATCTATGACCTTCCACATCTATACTAATGAAAGGATAATATGCTAATTAGACCGGACATCTTCCAGATATCCTTCCTAACAAAGCTGAGCCCTAGCAAAGCCACCCACCCTGCGGTCTTGGGTGCCTGTGCCTGCGGCCCGGGAGAGGGAGAAAAGCCATCCACCCACAGTCCCAGGCGCCTGGCCCAAGAGAAGCCAGCCCGGGTCCCAGGTGCCTGCGGCCAGCCAGAGGGAGGGAATCCTGGGTCCAGGCTGCAAGGCCGAGGCAGAGGCAGATAGGGACGATCAGGCTGGCAGGGGAGCAGTTAGGGATGATCAGGCCGGCAGGCAGAGGTGTTTAGGGGCAATCAGGCAGGCAGGCAGAGGGGTTAGGGGCGATCAGGCAGGCAGGCAGTTATTAGGGGCGATCAGGCAGGCAGGCAGGGGTGTTAGGGGCGATCAGGCAGGCAGGCAGGTGAGCGGTTAGGAGCCAGCAGTCCCAGATTGTGAGAGGCCTAAACCAGCTGTTGGACATCCCCCAAGGGGTCCTAGATTAGAGAGGGTGTAGGCCGGGCTGAGGGACACCCCCCTCCCTGCATATAAATTTCATGCACCGGGCCTCTATTTTATTATATTACACGTTCCATGAGAGCAGAACTTTTTCTGTTTTGTTCACTACTGTATAGCCAATAAGTAGAATAGTAACTGGCATCTATATCACACTGAATAAATTGAAGTGAATGAATACATCTAATCAATTTTATAAGCCTTTCTAATTCAATCTCATCATTAACTTTTCTAATAGTCCTTTTCTTTCTATTCCTATTACTAATTCCTATTAATAAACTATACCTTAATTATTTTTTTAAATATATTTTATTGATTTTTTTACAGAGAGGAAGGGGGAGAGAGAGAGAGTTAGAAACATCGATGAGAGAGAAACATCGATCAGCTGCCTCCTGCACATCTCCCACTGGGGATGTGCCCGCAACCCAGATACATGCCCTTCACCGGAATTGAACCTGGGACCTTTCAGTCCGCAGACCGACGCTCTATCCACTGAGCCAAACCGGTTTCGGCTATACCTTAATTATTGAAATAATCTCTTAAATGGTTCCTCCTCCAATTTTCTTGCCAGCAATCCCAGTCACTACACTATATTTTTAAATGGTGATTCTGAAACACCTACCAGAGTTATGATTTATAGATATAGGATTTGACATTGGTATTGCCATACAACCTATTCAGATTTCAACAATTATGTATACACTCGTGTGTGTGTGTAGTTTTATGTGGAAGTATCACAAATGTAGCCGTGCATAACTACCCCACAGTCACGACAACTCAACTATACCATAACCACAAGCCTCTTTCATGTTTTCCTCTTATAATAACAGTCATCTCCTCTTCCTATATGTACTAACCCCTGGCAGTCACTAATATGTTCTCTATATCTGTGATTTCAGCAATATTGCATAAATGTTATCATGTAGTATGTGTCCTTTTGAGATTTCTTTTACACTCAGCATACTTTTCTTGAGGTTTATCCAAGCTATTCCATGTGTCAAAAGTTCAGTTCCTTTTTATTAATGAGTAGTATTCCATGGTATGATCATAGGGAACATATGCACCCCTATTTTCATAGCAGTATCATTTACAGTAGTCAAGATCTGGGTACAGCCAAAGTTCCCATCAGTAGATAAGCAGATAAAAAGATGTGGTACATTTACACACTGGAATACTATGCAGCTGTAAGAAAGAAGGAACTCTTAACCTTTGCAACAGCACAGATGGACCTGAAGATTATTTTGCTAAGCAAAGTAAGCCAATCAGAGAAAGGCAAATATCACATGATCTCACTTATATGTGAAACCCAATGAATAAAATAAACTGATGAACAAAATAATGTTTATTAAACAATATCTTAATATGTATAAGAAAATAGAAAGGAGATGTTTAATCAGCATTATATGGTTGGCAAACCTGACAATTTGGATAATAAACTTTTAAAACAACTCTCAAAATTTATAACAGAATCATGAAACAAAATGACTTCCATAATCCAAAATATTACTTGGAAATTGAGCCATCTTTATTAGAAGTATCTTAATTTTCTCTTAAATATTCACTGTACCCTTTTCCCTCCACTCTAATAAATCCAGTATTATCATATCCTTCTCCAAATCTCACCTAACTTTGACCTTCAACTCTGGCTTCCTGGCAAAGCTCTACAATCCTACAAAGAACTAGCAGTGAGTATAACTTACATTCTCTGTGGTAGTCCACAGGTGTGACAACCCAACACTTATCAACGGAATAAAATCTGAAAAATATATTTTTATCCCTGTTTTCTGAAATCTTTAAAATATAGGGGAAACAAAACCAGAACTGGTTGAGTATAAACTAAGTTATTACTCCAAGGTCCTGAAGTTCAAAGGTACTCAAATTGTTTATGGGAATCGGGCATCTAGAGGTGTGTTCAAACGAGGTAAACAATAGATTGGAACAGGTGCACTAATAAAACTGATTTTAAAAATCCTGACATTAATGTAAGCATTTCCCATAAATAGCTATACTATCATCACTTTTGTGCCAATAAATATTTTATAGGACAAAACATTCTCAATTCTACATACTGCTCTTCATGTGCAAAGAATTAAAAGCTTAAAGAATGTCAGGTAAAACAAATATTACAATTAAAAATTATTATGGCTCTCTCTGCCACTTGCTGCTGTGCCAGTAAGGGGGGGCAGGGGAGCCAAACCTAGGTTTGAAATGAAGGACTCTTTGCTTTTGCATCGGACTCGCCGGCTCCCTGGTGCGCTTTTTGGGAACCTTGAAATCTGGGCACAACATAATCAAATTAAAATGAGGTCATTAGGTGCCAGGAGCCAGTCCATCCTTGCTGTTTCAAGGGACCTGGCATATATGGCATACTGTTCTTAATATGTTTTCTCACTCTCTTGGCACTAAGTGTTTTAACCAAGGTCATCTCTCCGAGAAAGGTTGTTTCCCCAGGTAGAGATTTTCCCCTAAAGTTAGGAAGGGAATAAAACCCCTTAACTAAGTGCCAGGCGGGTAATTAATCTCTTTAACTATGAACAATCATGCTTAAGCTACATAATCTTTACTCCCTGGAATGGAGATAAGAAATGCCCTAACCTTTGGAATAGAGATTGATAGGATTGAATCAACTGGTATAAATACAGATGTAACAAGACAACAAGAGACAGAACTTACACACAGAACTTAGAAGACAGAACCTAGAGACAGAAGAACTTCGCTGGAGAGAACATGGCAAAAGATCCTAGACAGAGCCTGGCTACAGAACTTGGTTGGAGAACCTAGACAGAACCTGGCTGAAGAACGCAGCTACAGAACCTGGCGACTGAACCTGGCTGGAGAACCTAGCGAGAGAACATGGCTACAGAACCTGGCTGGAGAACCTGGAGAACCTAGCAAGAGAACATGGGCACAGAACTTGGCTGGAGATTGTGGCTAGAGATCCTGGCAAGGCTGCTGATCAACTGAACGCTGTCTCCATGTCATTCCTTCTTCGCCGACTCCGTCCACACCTTTGGGGACCCCTGGACCTGCTGGGGTTGGACCTCAGCAATTAGGGGTGGGCCCTAATCCAACATGACTAATCCTATCTAACAAAGGACAAACATGGTAATTGACCATACCTTCGCTACACCTCCCATTGGCTAATCAGTGTGATATGCAAATTAACTGCCAACAAAGATGGTGGCTAATTTGCATACTACAGGTAGGACAGCGAGCCGCCAGCGCACCACCATCCAGGGCTAAAGCTGGCTTGCCTTGCCGCCCAGAATTCGATCCGGTCCTGGGTGGCAAGGCAGGCCAGCCCCAGGAGCCCCAGAAGCTCCAGAAGCTGCCTGATATGGTAGTAACTCTATCAGTAAGCAATCTGAAAGTCAGTGGCATAAATGCACCAATTAAAAGACAGATTATGAGGGTGAATCAAAAACAAAACCCACTTTAAATATAAAGACACATATAGATTAAAAGTAAATGAATTAAGCTGCAGCCTGTTTTGCTCAGTGGACAGAGCATTAGCTCTTGGACTGAAGGGTCCCGGGTTAGATTCTAGTCAAGGGCATGTACCTCAGTTGCTGGCTTTATCCCCAGTCCCTATCAGAGCATCTGCAGGAGTTATTATGGATTGACAGAAGCCCCAAAGAGATGAAGCACCATGTAAAAATTTTGAATAAAACATTACTGATAGAACTAGTATAATTTTGACTATGCGGGGTTTTTTTTTCAGTTTGCAAATGTTTTCACTGTTCAATGACTTACAAGTAAGACTATTAAAATATTTAAGTTCCTATCTAGCAAGGGATAATCATATATTCATACCAAATATTTAAAAGTAAAGAAAAACACATACCAAAACTTTGTCCACCACAATATGCATTTCTAGATAAAGAGGAATGAAATCTTGAACAGCTGATTCTGGCTAGAGAGAAAAAAAATGGTATTTAAAAACATAAAAGCTTTTATAAATTGTTTATTCTAAACTTTTACATCTTTTTCCATCTTCATTCAGGCATGGTCGACATAAAGCTGCATTTAAGGTGTAATACTTGTTGTCTATATAGTAGATCCTCGGGCTATATCAGACATCCATTCCTACAGCGTGACTTAATGCGATTTAATGAAGTGAAACAGTAAAAAAAAATTTTAAAGAAAGATAACTCCTGACCTTTACTTGTAAATAAATAAAAAACATAAAGCACACATGTACATACATCAAAATAACCTTTTTTTAATAAATAAATGGGAGATGGTGATGTAACCACGAGTCCAACATAACCCAAAGACTGCCTGTATATGTATACACTAGAGGCGCGGTGCATGAAATTCATGCACTTGGGGGGGGGCGAGTCCCTCAGCCTGGCCTGTGACCTCTTGCAGTCCAGGAGCCCTTGGGGGATGTCCGATTGATGGCGGGGTGCAGGCCTAAGCCACGGCAGCTGGACATCCTTAACAGTGCTGCAGAGACAAGAGAGGCTCTCGCCAGCCATGAGCCCAGCTTCTGGCTGAGCGGTGCTCCCCCTGTGGGAGTGCAATGACCACCAGGGGGGCAGCTACTGTGTTAAGCATCTGCCCCCTGGTAGTTAGTGCGTGTCATAGCGACTGGTCATTCTGCCGTTTGATCAATTTGCATATTAGCCTTTTATTATATAGGATTGTGAAATAATTGGCACAGTAAAGCTAATTACCATATCTACTTCACATAGTTACCATTTTCTTTCTTGTGGTGAGAACACGTAGTATAAACATTCTTAGCACATTTCAAGTTTACACTACAGTATTGTTAACTATAGTCACATTACTGTATATTAAATCTCCAGAATCTATTCTTTCTGCATAACTACAACTTTATACCTTTTGAACATTTCCCCAATTTTCTTTGTCCCCACCCTCTGGCAACTACCATTCTGCTCTTTGTTTCTATGAATTTGACAATTTTAGATTCCACATGTGAGATCACACAGTATTTGTTTTTCTGTTTCTGGCTTATATCACTTTGCATACTAGTATATCTTCCACATACATCCATGTTGTCACAGTGATAGGACTTTCTTCATTTTTTTAAAGCTGAGTGATATTCTAGTGTGTGTGTGTGTGTGTGTGTGTGTGTGTGTGACATTTTTTTTATCCCTCATCCATCAATGGATATTTAGGTTGCTTCCATATCTTGGCTATTGTAAATAAAGTGCAATAAACATGGGAGTGCAGATATTTCCCCCAGATACTGATTTCATTTCCTAGGATATATTCCCAGAGGCAGAACTGGTGAATCATATGATAGATCTATTTTTAATTTTCTGAGTAATCTCCGTACTGTTTTCCAATAGAGGAAGTGCCAATTTACATTCCCACCAAGACTTATTATTTCCTGTCGTTTTTATAATAGGCATTCTAACAGGTGTGAGGTGGTATCTAATTGTGGTTTTGATTGACATTTCTCTGATGATTAGTGATGTTGAGCAATGTGTGGTGATGGATGTTAACTAGACTTATTGTGGTGATCATTTCATAATATATGCATATGTCAAATCATGATGTATGCTTTACACTAACACATTATTTATTATATGCCAATTATATGTCAATACAACTGAAATAAAATAATTTTAAGTATAAACACATTTTTTAAATAGTCACAGATTGTAGATGTTAAAAGCAAAAGCACAAAGACAGAGAGTCTCACTCACTCCCTATATTTACAAAAACACGGTCAAAGGAGGCTTAAGGGGTTCTGGCCAGAGCACTAACACTGTCCACTATAGTGGATAATTTAAGCTACTGTGAATTACCCTCCTAAATTCCCAGGAGGAGAAGAGAAAAGTTAGTATTTAGTTTACAGAATTTCATTTTAAATTATATACATATATGTAATAGCACTGAACTCTTCAGTGCTGCCCCTTACTTTCACCGTACATTTGATTCATATTATTATTTTGGACACAGGATTGGAAGCTATGACAGATACACACAAGTAACAGAAGGTCAAACATACTGGAGTTTATTTCTCTCACATAAAATTCTGAAAATGGTGTTTTTGTCTTGTAAGTTCTTCAGGAGAAAGGCTCATTTTACCTTAATGCTCTGACACACATGATATCCTCCTTGACCTTGTGGACTAGGGTGTGTCAACAAGTCCACAATGTGGCCAACAGGATCGGGGAGAAGAGTATCAACCCCCTTCCTTTAGAATTCAATCCAGACATATTATATAGTACATCTGCCCAAATGTCATTAGCCACAACTTTATCACATGGCCTTACTTAAATGCAGGGAGGTTGAGAAATGTCTTTTGTTGCATGCCCAGGGGTTTTATTTTTAAAAACTGGCAGAAAATGAGAACATGTACTGTAAACAGCTAGCAATGCCATATACCTCTTCAACAAGCTATGCATATTTATGCCTTTTACCTGCCACAGAATTTTTCTTTCTCACAATTACTTTTACAAGGACCAAAACATGCAGTTATACAGGGTGTACACTGAACAATTTACATGGCTACACATGACAATCCTGCTTATGACATTTTAATTATATCTATAATTTCATTAATGCTGACTCTTTGGTTATGAATGCAACCTTTATTAATATTGGCTTTATTAAATAAATATAGAGATAAATATACAGAAATTTATTAAATAAATATACAGAAATATAGAGATAAAAGCAGAAACTGAAACACACTAGTTAATTTTTAGAAAGTTATAAGAAACAAAATAAGAATTAAAAGTATAGATTGTTGCAAGCCGGAAATGATGATATATGCTGCTTTTCATTCCAGGAAAATTATAAAAGGCTAAGAAAAGATGAGGCTGTTCTTAAGGAAAGTATATTTGCTATAACTATACATGAAGTTAATAAATTTCTTTTTTAAAATAAATTTTAAATGCAGTAACTATCTTGAAAGTAGTAATAAAGCATATGCAACTTACTTTTTCACTTATGGAGATGCTGTAGTCCATTGGATTTTGTTCTAGGCCACGGCTATTTTCTGTATGAACTACAAACACATTGTTTTCATTTTTTAATTTATAAAGAAGATGCTGAAATTCAACTTCAACTTCCAGAGGTTCAATTCCATAAGAAACATTTTCAAGTTGCAGCAATCCTCTGTAAAAGTAAGGATAACAAACAAGTGCTTTTAGTCAATTTTATAAAACTGACAGAGTCAAAAAAGGAGAAAATACACACCGTTTTTGAGTATAATATTTTGACCCAAAACCTTTATATTTGGGATATGACTCTGAAGAGACAAAACATCTCCAAACCACAAAATTAACTTCCCATTTCACTTCCTTTATGATTATAAATGCAGCAGAAATTGTGCAATCAGTGCTAGGTATAGTGCACAGCATTAACAATGATCAAGTAGTTCCCCGTCTTCCAAGTCAGTGACATTAAGAAGGCAATATAGAAATCATGATGAATTTTTCTCTGGTATGTACTGCCTTAAAAAAAATGATTGCAGTGCTAATATAACTAAACTAGAGGCCCAGTGCACATATTTGTTCACCAATGGGGTCCCTCGGTCTGGCCTGTGTCATCTCACAATCTGGGATCCCTCAGGGGATATCATAGTAATGCAGTGAAGCAGCAAGCAGCTGGGGAGGAGCCCGAGCCCAGACCGAGTGCCACTCTCACTCATCCTGGCCCCACTGCACCTGCCGCCACATGCTTGGTAGCACTGCTATGGAAGCGGGAGAGGCTAGCGCAGCTGCAGCAGCGCTCACCAGCCATGAGCCGGGCATCTGGCACCCACTGGTCGGCTGAGAGGCGCTCCTGCTGTGGGAGCACACTGACCACCAGGGGGCAGCTCCTGCATTCAACGTCTGCCCCTGGTGGTCAGTGCACATCACAGCAACCAGTCAAATGGTCGACCAGTCGAACAGTCCAACAGTTGACCCGTAGTTTAGGGTTTTATATAAATAGCCATTTAAAGCAAGATTTTAAAGAGTAAAACAACTTTTGTAACCCTTCTTCCCTGAATACAGGTAACAGTTCAAGTGACTACTCCCAGAAAAAAACAAATTTCAGGGTTACATGTAAAAGCACAGAGGCACTTTTTTTGTAAATCAAGGAACCTATGCTACCAATTGAGAATGAAAAATTTCCTGATATAATGGGAAACTCTTTAAGCACTAAGGATGAAACCCTACAATTCTTAGAGACTTTAAGACACTGATATTATTAGAAAAATAATGCCATATTAATAATTATTTGTTTATACAGAATTGACTTCATCTCTCTGAAAATAATTTTCCTTGAGAAAAGCATGCCTTGTTTATATTTATTTCTCTATACCTCCAAACATTGGCTAGTAGCTGGTACATGGAAGGTATCAAAATATTCTGTTTGCTGAAAAAAATAAGCTATACTGAATTTAGCTTTTCAAACTTCCTGTAGTCAAGCATGTTCAACTGTCATTTCTGTAGTTAAGAAAAAAAAATAGAGAGAGCAAGGATGCCAGAAAATCTAAACTTTCAAGGAGGTAAGAAATTATCTGGTCAGTGAGGAGAAGTAAAAGGACAGCAGAGTATAACTGAATAATTCCCACATGGGAATTTTCTTCCAGCTTCACACTAAATATCAACAAAACAAATCCAAAGCAGCCAAATATCATAACTATGATGTTGGCATATCAACAGTAGAAAATACATAACCGCAGTCCAGAGCACGTGCTGAGTATGACAATGGAATTTGGATATCCTTCAACATATCCTTCATAGTAGCACTGAGTCTAGAAAAGTAAAAAGCAAAGTGGTTACTTAGGAATTGAAAAAACTTTCTAATAATTTCTTATTTGATAAAATGTTCTGAATATTTTCCCAGGCTATACAATCTATATCAATATGAATAAAGCAATATTCAGATAAAAAGTCACCCATTTTCCACTTTTACTGTATGAACTACTCTTATCAGATTAATACTAGGGATTATTATCTTACATCATGCTTCCAAAATTAATTTCATATTTTTGGTAAAATTATTTCCCAGTATATAAATTTGGTTCATCAATTAAAAGACTAAGATTATGAATCTTAATTTCTTTTAAATCTAATATCCTGCTAAAAGGGAACATTTAAAATATAAGGATATAGGAAGAATGAAGAACTAGAAAGAGATACAATAAAACAACAAAAAGAAAAGGGTGATTTTGAAACTATACTAATACAAAAAAAAGTCGACGCTAGGCAAAAAGCATGACTAGAGATAAAGAGGGACATTTCAAAATGATGTTTCAACTTACAAAGAAGATATAAGTACCCTAAATTTGTATTCCCTTAATAACACACCTTGAAAATATATAAAGTCAAAATTGAAAAAAATTCATAAAAATAGATATATATTTTTATAGTAAAAGGTTTTTAAACATACACTTCTGTCAGTAACTGATAAATCAAGCACTGCGAATTTATAGACGATTTGAACAGCATGTTAACAACTTAATACAGATAGAACACTACACTTTAAAACTTGGGTAACTGGAGAGCATTATGCTAAGTGAAATAAGCCAGTCAGAGAAAGATAAAGATCACATGATCTCACTCATATGTGGGATATAATGATCAACATAATTTGATGAACAAGAATAGATCGATCTAGAGACAAATGGTAGGGGAGGGGGTTAGAGAGCAACCAGAGGACTTATATGCATGCATGTTAGCAAGGCCAATGGACGCAGACACTGGGGCGGTGGGGGCTTGCCTGGGCTGGGAAGGGATAGGGGAGGGGGTCAATTGGGGATAAAGGAGACATATGTAAAACTTTAGACAATTACAAAAAACTGCAGAATACACTTTCTTTTCAAATAACCTGGATCATTTACAAAAATGAAACCATATTCTGGCCATAAAACACAAGAATAAATTTTAAATTATTTCAATCATACAAAGTTTGGTCTCTGATCACCACATAATTATGCTAGAGATCTAGCAAACATCGTCACAGAAAAAGAGGAATCCTATCTAATAAAAGAGAAACATGGTAATTAGCGTACAACCGCTACCCTGACTAATCAGGGCGATACGCAAATTAACTGCCAGCCAAGATGGCGGCTGGCAGCCAGGCAGCTGGAAGCGAACATGAGGCTTGCTTGCTTCAGTAACGGAGGACTCCAACATTCCCCACCTGACTTGCTGGCCTCTCAGCTGCAACTCTAAGTAACTATGTTGTGAATAAAGAAGCTGAAAAACCCCCAGAAACCTGCTTTACTCAGCGGAGCTTCAGCCAGCCGGACCGCAACATTGTATCAAATACAGAAGGTAAACAAAGGCCCAGGGTGCGGTGCTCCAATCCCCTGATCCGCCCTGCTCTGTGTGTGACAGGGGCGGTGCCCCAACTCCCCTATCACAACTCCCCTGTGAGTGACAGGGGGGAGCTCCCCAACCCCGATGGGCCGTGCTCTGTGCGTGACAGGGTACAGAGCCCCAACCCTCCTGATGGGCCCTGCTCTGTGAGTGACAGGGGGCAGTGCCCCAACCCCCTGATTGGCCCTGCTCTGAGCCCGACCAGTGGCTGCACCTAGGGATTGGGCCTGCCCTCTGCCACCCGGGAGCAGGCCTAAACCAGAAGGTCGTTATCTCCCAAGGGGTCCCAGACTGCGAGAGGGCACAGGCCAGGCTGAAGGACCCCCCCCTTTTCCCCCGAGTGCACAAATTTTTGTGCACCGGGCCTCTAGTATTATATAATTTCCAAGATTCAATAGTGTTATAACGCTTGGTAAAAATCAGTGTAAGATTTATTAACACATTGCTTTATGTTGGAGCCTAGGAGAGGAAAAAAGAAGAAAAGGAAACTGATGGTCCTATCCAATATAATAAAGTAACATAGTGTCCAATTCAGTAATTCAACACATTTTTATTATACTAGTATGCTAACTATGTGTTAGACATTTTTCTAGGTATTGGGGGTACATTGGTGAATAAAAGAGACCAAAACCCTGGCCTCATGAAAGATTATATTGCACTGGAGAAACAGAAAATAAAGTAAATAGACCAAATATATGGCACATCATATGTTGATACCATTGGCGGAAAAACAAAACAGGTAAAATAAGAGAACTAAGGGTAAGAATGCAATTTAAAATTGGGGTTAGTCAAGGACTAATGGAGTGATTTTGAGCAAAGATCCAAAGTAAATGAAGGAGAAAAACATGTGCTATTTTGGAAAAGAGCAAACATCTGGCCCTAGTACGGTTTGGCTCAGTGGACAGAGTAAGGGCCTTCAGACCGATGAGTCCCAGGTTCAATTCCTGGCAAGGACACGTACCTGGGTTGCAGGCTCAATTCCAGCCCTGGTTAGGGTGCCTGCAGGAGGCAACCAATAGATGTGTCTCTCTCACACTGATGTTTCTCTCTGTCTCTCCCCCTCCCTTCCACTCTCCCTAAAAATCAATGGAAAGCAAACATCTGGATCAGAGGAAATAGAAAATGCAAAGTTCTTAAAAGAATATGTCTGGTGTGTCTGAAGAACAGCAGGGAGAGAAATATGATTGGAACAGGTAAGGCAGAGACTAACAAGAAATGAGGTCAGACAGGAGAAGAGGACCAAACTGTATAAGAGCTGTAGTATATTGAAATGACTCTGGTTTTCATTTTGTGAACATTAGGTGGTCATCCCATGAAAGTTCTGAGCAGAGAAGTGACTAGAGGCCTGGTGCACAAAATTCATTGATCCTGTTGACTAGATTTCAATAGGATCAATCTGGTTGCTGTTTCAAGGGGATGGCAAAGTGTGGAAGTAGAAAGATTATTAAAGTTCTGGCAATAATCTATAAAAATAAAAGCATAATATGCTAATTAGACTGGACAACCGAACGACCTTCCAGACTAAGCCCCAGCGGTGGTGGCCAAGGAAGAGGTGGTTAGGGGCCATTAGGCAGGCAGGCAAGCAGTTAGGAGCCAGAGGTACCAGATTGTGGGAGGATGCAGGCCAGGCTGAAGGACCCTTCCCCCCATCTACCATCCCCCCCCACCCCGCTGCACAAATTTTGTGCAATAGGCCTCTAGTCCAATTAAATAAGATGCTTACTTGGAAAAGAGTGGTTCCAGTTGATGGAGACAGAGGAAGAGGGTAGATTACAGATATACTATAAGGGTAGATTCAGTAGAATTTCTTGATGGATGGGAGAGGGTAGCTATTTTCAACCTTTTTTATCTCATGGCACACATAAACCAATTACTAAAACTCTGCAGCACAGAAAAAAATACATTTTTTGCCGATCTGACAAAAAGATAGGAATAATTTTAATTCATTCACACCAGATGGCCATTCTCGGGTTGGCAGTTGTCATACTTTATTTGATGATCTAAGGGAAAAGATATCACTGCCTCAGACTAAATAGTCAGGTATTGCATGTTTTAAAAATCAGTGTGGGCCCTAACCAGTTTGGCTCAGTGGACAGAGCATCAGCCTGCAGACTGAAGGGTCCCAGATTCGATTCTGGTCAACAGCATGTACCTTGGTTGCAGGCACATTCCCAGTGGGGAGGTGTGCAGGAGGCAGCTGACGATGTTTCTCTCTCATCGATGTTTCTGACTCTCTCTCCCTCTCCCTTCCTCTCTGTAAAAAATCAATAAAATATGTTTTAAAAAGCCCTAACCGGTTTGGTTCAATGGACAGAGCGTCGGCCTGTGGACTCAAGGGTCCCAGGTTCAATTCTGGTCAAGGGCATATACCTTGGTTGCAGGCACATACCCAGTGGGAGTGTGCAGGAGGCAGCTGATCAATGTTTCTCTCTCATCAATGTTTCTAACTCTCTATCCTTCTCCCTTCCTCTCTGTAAAATATCAGTAAAATATATTTTTAAAAAAATATGTTTTAAAAAATATCAATGTGGCACACTGGTTGAAAATCACTGGAATAGAGGGTACAAAAAGGAAAAGTTTTCAATCTATGATTTTATGTCCAGTAATATTTGTGTTTGTCTTATTAATTTTTATGTTCATTAAGTCAACAAAATACAAACTAATTAATTAATTAAGTGGTAATATGTTCTAGGCAGAGTAGAAGGTGTTGAGTCATTCTAATTTTCTTTAATTTACCAAGATTTCAGGAAAGTCTGAAATTAGGGGAAATTAGGCACACACAATAATGGATTCCTTAACTATATCCCCTGCGAATAAAGTCTGCTGTATTAGAAAAGAATTTCTTCAACATAAAAAAAAGGTTTTTTAAAAATCTGTATAACATAGAACTTAAATCTTACCTGAATATTTGAAGAATGAGAATTCACAGATCCTTGTTTATACAAGTAAACCATAAAATTCTCTGCCAAAAAAAATCTGAGTATAAAAAAGAATGAGAGAATTCTGAAAGTTATTCATTTTAAAACATATAAAGCAGCAGCAAGCAAGCTAACACCCTCAGACCAAATCTGACCCACCCTCCTCTGTGCTGGTAAATAGTATTATGGAAACACAGCCACAGCCAGTGACTTCCTATGGTCAATGGCTGCTTTCCTGCTACAGCAGCAGAGTCTGGTCATTTTGACAGAGACTTATGCCCTCAAAGCCAAAACTATTTACTATCTGGGCTTTAGAGAAAAAGTCTGCTAACCTCTGTTACAGATGATATTTTCTCTTGATGTTTATGTAATTTTTATTCAAAGGAATACACATTTACTCAAAGTACTTGTCCTATCTTATTGGACTCCTTCAAAGAAAATCGGGAAAAAGGAACTACAAGATGAGAGAAAAGCATTTTAAAATTTACAAAGATATGAACTGAATGTAGGATTATGAGAGCTGTCTGTTCTTTCCTTTTTCCTAAATTGTATTACCATGAATACACATTTCCTTTATAAAGAAGTGCAAGAGTATTGTGTAAAAGTCTTATTAATCAGAACACAGGCACTAAAACTACATTCTAAGTCCAGCCTTCTCTGGTACCGCTGCCTGTATTTACCATGTTATTTTAGTTGGGCTTCCTTACCTCAAGCTCACTCCTCCATCCAGGTCACCCAGACTAGCTTCTGTTGGGAATTCTTCACTAAAACTGATCTCATATAGGTTACTTACCTAATGACCCTCTAGTTGTGAAATCCAAAAGGCAGTTTGAAGTCAAGTAGAACTACTGTAATGCACTTCCTGTTGCTGACCACATGCCCCTTCCTTAAACCATCTACTCAACTCCAATCATACCATTTCCCCCTGGTTTTCCTCATATCGTTCTACTTCTGAAAATCCTTTCCTCTGGATCCTTCCTTCTTCTCTTAAATGTTTCCATGGCATTCATCTGTGGGTTGTTTTTCCTTCTCACCTTTAATATTCACTCCCACCTCTATAGATTTATCTTGTTTCTTTTTGGTGTTTCATTTATACTTACATTAAAAAATGGCTTTAAAACCCACACCTCTCTTCCATGTTCTAGACCAGTGGTCGGCAAACTCATTAGTCAACAGAGCCAAATATCAACAGTACAATGATTAAATTTCTTTTGAGAGCCAAATTTTTTAAACTTAAACTATATAAGTGGGTACACTGTTATTAACTTAACCCCTTCCCCAACAATTTTTTTGTTAAAAACGTTTCTTTTTCAGACTAATTTTTTTATTTTGGTTCTATATAGTATTTTTGATGCTGGTTATGAAAACAGTTTGTAACTCGCCTTCCTATAAACCATATATTTTTTTACCATATTTTCTTAGTATACTCATCGACGACTGAAAAAGAACATTTTGTGAAAACGTGTATACACGTTTCTGCCGGGGAAGGGGTTAAAAAACAAAGAATATTTTCTTAGTATACTCATCAGCGACTGAAAAAAAACATTTTGTGAAAACGAGTATACACGTTTCTGCCGGGGAAGGGGTTAATTAGGATACTCCTAAGGCTTAGGAAGAGCCACACTCAAGGGGCCAAAGAGCCGCATGTGGCTCACCAGCCACAGTTTGCCGACCACAGTTCTAGACCAAATCTACTTTCCAACTAAACATTACTCCTGGAATCTCCCACAAGCGCTTCATAAACAACCTCTCCAAAAATGAGTCCATATTTGCCCTGACTCAGGTCTGTTCCCCTTCTCCTTCACTGAATCTCTGCTGCCGGGGTCCAACCCCAGCGGTTCCAGGGGTCCCCAAAGGTGTGGACGGAGTCGGCGAAGGAGGAATGAATGGCACAGAGGCAGTGTTCAGTTCATCAGCATAGTTGGGTTCTCTTGTCAGGATCTCCAGCCAGGTTCTGTAGCCATGTTCCCTCGCTAGGTTCTCCAGCCAGGTTCTGTCCAAGTTCTAGTCAGGTTCTCTTGACACGGAGGCAGCCATCGGGTGATCATCATAGCCAGGTTCCTCTAGCCAAGTTCTGGTCAGGATCTCCAGCGAAGTTCTGGTTAGGATCTCCAGCCAGGTTCTGTGTCCATCCACAACTCACTCTATCTAATCCATTAGCTAATCTTTTTTCCTGCCACCTCAGTATTTCTAAAAAGAAAAAGGAAAAAAAAAAAAAAACCCTTCCTCTACACAGTCATAGTTCTGCTTCTCGTTATTTCTCACATAAGTTATTTGCAATAACATAATTGGCAAAATGCTGTCATAATCATTATGTAGGTAATTTCCCAAAACAATATACACATGCTCTATCCATATCCCATGCTCCAGTCCCTAAATTTCTTACCACTATTCATAGTCCTGATGAGTTGTTCAAATGCAATGTGAGTTCTCTCTGCCTTTGACAGTCTTGAAAAGTTATTTGTGTTATCATTTACCATATTCTCCCCTCTGTCTATAGCAGTGGTTCTCAACCTTTAAATACAGTTCCTCATGTTGTGACCCAACCATAAAATTATTTTCATTGCTACTTCATAACTGTAATGTTGCTACTGGTATAAATCATAATGTAAATATCTGATATGCAGGATGGTCTTAGGCAACCCCTGTGAAAGGGGCGTTCGACCGCCAAAGGGGTCGCAACCCACAGGTTGAGAACGGCTGGTCTATAGGAATAGTTTAATTCTTCTTTTACTCAACACCAGTCTTTGGCATCTTACACAATGAGTCACTTGTTTACACATTTCTCTTTAAGAAACTTCCCCTCAGCCAAAAAACTTTGTTCTTTCTTTGAAAGCATTCATCTGACCTCCTTCTTCTTCTTTCATTGCCCAATATTTTTGGTAAGTCATTTACACTTACTATTTTTGGTCTCAAATTAGCCTCTCCTTCATTCCATGTAGTCTAGCTTTACACCCAAAATTTAACTAATATTGACCTCTTGAAAATCACAAATTACTTCCTATCCAGCTTTTCACAACTGGGTTTCCATTAGAGAATTAAACCCTATAAAAGTTATTTCAATTATTTTCTCAATTCTCTGAAATATGATATAGAACTAGTACTATTTTCCATAAGCTATTCACTAGTTCCCACACAGTGTATCATCTAATTTCTGTATTAAATCTCTTATTCCATATCCTGATGGTGGACCTAACTCCCTGATCAAATCTTAATACAATCAGTTACAGACTTAGTTATTTTGATATACTGCCTTGATTATACAGATCCTGCTGGTTCCACCAACTTAAGACCTTATTGATTAAAGTTCAGGAGACGAGTCTCTATTTTTTTGTTTGTTTGTTTCTAAATCCCCTTGTAACAAAAGGCTAATATCATGAAGCATTAGCATCAAAAATTTCATTAATTCACAGAAGAATATCCATTCATCTGAAACAACTAAAAATGTAATAACAAAGATATTATTTTAAATAGCCCATTTTTATTACAAGTAAACAAATTCATATAAATAAAAGAAATCCAAAACTAAAGAATAAAAAATGTACCTTTGCTTAAGGTGAATAGTATATGGCTTCTCATCTATTGGAATAATATAAGATATCTGTTTCTAAAAAAGATCCAAAAGAACTGAGAGTAAAGACAAATGAAATAGGAATAACAATTTTACAGCAATTATTCCCTCCAAACAATGCTTAAAATGTCATTAAAATATCTCAAATTATGTGATTTTAAATCTGCAACAGCATATAAAAAAATGTAAAGACCAAAGGTAGCTTAATGGTTTCTTAAATGAGTATTTCTCTAGCATCCTGAGGTTTCCATTATATAAAAGTATTTAGCAGTAGGTTTGTAAAATTGGTTCTTTGTACGAAGGACAGTCCTTTTTCACCTATCTAGATCTTTTCAAAAGTGGTGGAAACTGGCAGCTGAGGTACTATCAGTTTAGAATATTTGTCACACCCCAGATAAAATGCAGAATGTTATATAGGAGTACTTTATAAATATGGTTACATGGAGCCATTCTAGCCATTTTTATAGTTGTGATGCACAATGTAATGTAAATATGTATTCCTTCAGTAAAATAGGTATAATTAATTGCCCATGATGAACAAAAAAATGAGTATTATCATTGGGATTATTTGAATGATTAGAGTGAGATTTAGTGCCCATATCTTAACAGTTCAGTTATCTCCAGGGCCATTCTCACCCTTTTAGAGCGAGTCACATGCAGGGTATGTGAAACCAGAGGTGAAACCAGGCAGACTGTTTTATTATCCAGTCTGCCTCATCCTTAACCTGTTCATAGGTATTTATCTACTAATGATTTTCTTATTAAGAGTTATGGGGTAAGAAAATGAAGTGTTTGCTCTTCATTTACTAAATAATTGTAAACTCAGGTTTTTCATCAAAATAAAAATTCCATTGTTTTATGTTTTAAAATGTTTAGCATTTATCTATTATATAATACATTCTATTTCCACACACAAAAAAATAGGCCCAATATGGGGACTTATACAGTATTAGAAATCTATATGTAACTGAATTTTAAGCTCTTCTAAAAGAAGAGCCTATATGCTATGCTGGAATATCTACTTAGGTGGCATCATTGGGATAAGAAGATATATCTATATCAGTGAAACTCACTCCATTAGGTACAAAAATCATTTCAACCATTGTCCTAAAATGTATTGCCTGTTTCCTATATTTTTTTGAATATGTTATTTTTTTCAGAGAGAGGAAATGAGAGGGAGAGAGAGTGAGGAACATCAATGAGGAGGGAGAATTACTGATTGTCCACTTCCTGCATAACCTAGCCTGCAACTTGGGCATGTGCCCTGACCAGGAATCGAACCGTGAAGTTATGTCCACACATAAATGTTCATAACAGAATTATTCTAATAACCAATATCTGAAAACAATCCAATATCTATCAAGTGGTAAATGGATAAACAAATGTTAACCACATCTATTAAGAAATAATCATTAATGACCTAGCCAATTTGACTCAGTGGATACAGCACTGGCCTGTGGACCAAAGGGTCCCAGGTTTGATTCTGGTCAAGGGCATGTACCTCGGTTGCGGGCTCCTCCCCGGCCTGAGACTTGGCCGGGGCGAGTGCAGGAGGCAAACAATCGATGTGTTTCTCTCACATCAATACTTCTCTCTGTCTTTCCCCCTCTCTTCCACACTCTCTAAAAATCAATGGAAAAATATCCTCCAGTGAGGATTTAAGAATAATAATAAATTCATAAAAATAAAATGGTTCTGCACACACTCTGATTTTTTTGAATATGTTATTTTTTTCAGAGAGAGGAAATGAGAGGGAGAGAGAGTGAGGAACATCAATGAGGAGGGAGAATTACTGATTGTCCACTTCCTGCATAACCTAGCCTGCAACTTGGGCATGTGCCCTGACCAGGAATCGAACCGTGACCTCCTGAGCCACACCAGCTGGGCTTGTTTCCTATATTTTTAAACAGGAAATCCTTGAACAAAATTTGTACTGTTTTCAACTCTATCACTACTTTTTTAAAAGTTAAAACATGGGTGGCAATCCTATCTAATAAAAGATTAATATGCAAATTAATCATCACTTTGCAATAAAGATAGTGGTGCCCACAGCCAATAAGGAGGGAGTATGCAAATTGACACAACAATGTACCACATTCAAGACCGAATACTTACTAAGCATGAGTTATTGGAAGAGACCCCCATCCTAGTCACTACTGAGACTTGGCCGGGGCGAGTGCAGGAGGCAAACAATCGATGTGTTTCTCTCACATCAATACTTCTCTCTGTCTTTCCCCCTCTCTTCCACACTCTCTAAAAATCAATGGAAAAATATCCTCCAGAGAGAATGTTATAAAAATAAAATAATAATTAATAAACTACTGATCAGTGCTACCAAATGGACAAACCTAAGTGAAAGAAGCCCAATGAAAAATATACACATCATGTATTTTCATGTATATGAAATGTCCAGAAAAGGCAAAATTATAGAAACAAAAACAAACCAGCATTTGCCAAGGGCTGAGAATGGAAGCAGGGAAAAACTGCAAATAAGCATGAGGGAACTTCTTATGACAACTGAAATGTTCTAAAAGTAGACAGTGTAAATTTATATAATTCTAATTATATAATAATCACTGAGTTGTATACACTTACAAAGGGTGAATTCTGTGGGGTACAAACTATGTCTTAATAATAGTGTTAAAACTTAAGTGTTATCAAAGTATTGACCATTTATAAGCAAGGCTTGATTCATTGTATTTCTTTTTTAATCTCCTAAGACACTTAGCATAAAGCTATACACACTAGTCCAGATAAATATTTGTTAAATAGATTGATGAAGAAGATAAATTATCTTCCTTTCTGACAAAAATAACATAATAAAAGGCTTATTCTCTCTGAGAACTGGTAGATGCAGGGGTAAAGATTGAGGCAGGAGGCTTTCATTAAAAAGGATTCTTCATAACTGTCTTGGAGAAATGTATTCTCCTCATATGAATCATCGAGACAGCACTCAGATAAGACCCTATTTCTTCTACATTGTTTTCTGAATTTGAAGTTTTAGTAGTTTTCCATAAGGAAATGACAAATATTAAACAGAACATCCTCGTGTAAATATTTGCTTTTACCATAAAAACTTTAAATTCCTTATTAGAAGTAACACCAGGCACATATTCATACTTTGTAAGGTTGATATATTTTATCACTATACAATAAAATAAGAAATGTATATAAAATATTGATTGTGAAAAATATATCTTACGTTTTCTACTTCTGAGTTATTATTTGTATTTGCTTGGATTTTCTCTGGAACTACAATCTGTAGAGACGAATTTTGAAAATCTTAAGAAATAAAAAAAAAAACAGTTAGTAACCGTGTTTTAAATCTAACTAAATATTTGTTGATATTGTTTCATAAGATTCGCTTCTGCAAATATGAGTTATCACTGTATGTTCCTATAATAATCTTTAAAACAATTTAGAAACAGACAAAATAGTTATGACGCCATAAAAAGCACAGGGGAAAGTTTCAACTTACACAAAATTTGCTGTTCCTAGAAAACAGAATAGAGCAAAAATAATCAAAGATAAACTTCCAGAAAACTTTCCTGAACTAAAATACTTGAGACAATAGACTAGAAAGTATTATAATAAAAAATAATAATTAATTAAAATTCAAATTATTCTACTAAAATTATTGGTTGCCTAAAACAAAGAAATAATTCTATGGGCATATGAGCAAAAAGAAAAAAAAGTCTATTGAACATACAGGGAGAAAAGCAGACTGGCTTATGAACTTCTTCCAATAGTTTTCAATGTTAAAAAACTGAATAACAACGTCTTTTTTAAATCTTCATGAAAAAAAAAAATGGAACCAGGAATTTTTTTACCCAGCAAAACTGTTATTGAAATATGGAGTCAAAAGGTAGATATTTACAAGCAAAATCTCAAAGGAATATAGTTCACACATGCCTGTCATACAAGGCAAATGAACTTCTCCCAATAAAAATATCAACAGACTTGAAGGGAAAGGTCTAGTAGTAGAGAGCATTAAATAAATACAGAATAAAGATTAAAACAACTGTGGGAATTGTGGATATCTAATAAAATGCAAATGTTATAAATAATGATTATGTAGGCATAATAACATATATGATGCCACAAAGTACAGCAAACAGGGACGCCATATGTGCATACTGATTTCCTTAAATTTATTGCAGCATGGTCCACAAAGTGTGACGTAAAGCTGAAAATCAAGTGGTGTATCAAAAACATATTGTTTAATGATATACAGGTAGAGAAGAACTAAAACCATAGTCATGTAATAAAAGGGAGAACAGGCCGTAGGAAGAAGTAATAAGATACTAAATTTCCTAAGCACTCACAGTGAGGAATCACTAGTTACTACCTACATGAAGGAGTAAATCTATTATATAAAACAGATTAAAAATATAACAAATGAAGAGAAGAAAGAATACATAGGCACCCAAAAAGTAAAGCAAGTTACAGATTTTTATGGTAAAAGACTTTTTATTAAAACAAAAGCATAAAATCAATAGAATGTATGGCATAATTAAGAATCACTCAGATTTAAAATCTGTCATATCAATAAATGGAAATAGAATGAAGTGACCAACTAAAGGAAAAATCCTCAGATTGGAGGCACACAATCAAAACCCAATTATTTAGACCTGTGAAATAACAAATACTGGATCTAAGCTAACCCTAAATTTTGAAGACCTAAAATATGACTGTGGTTCACTTCAGCAAAAGATGTATGCTTACCAGGAAAAGTCAGGTGATTGATGGAATTTAGGTTCAGATCAATGCATGTACTCGTGGGTCTACTAGTCAATCATATCATAAATTGCCCAATTATGCAAGTGTGTGGAAATCGATCTAATCAATAACTTGTGGAATCCCCATCTAGCCTACCTAACCTACAGGATGAGGATTATTACAGTAGGAAGGGCCGGATAGAAACCTCTGAATATCTTTGCACCATCACCACACCAAATGTCTTTCTGAACCCAGAAAGCTGTCCCACTATGAAAAGATTTAGAATATACAAGGGGAGTGGCCTCTATTATATTCCCACTTTGTTTGTTTGATTGGTGCAAGTGATTTCATAGAGAATGAGCTGTTGTAAGTTTAATCAGTTGATGGCTGAAATAACAAACACTGTTCCAAGTAAGGTCTCTTTACTGAAGCAAATGAACACGGGCATTGGCACTGATAGGTTAATGACATACAGAGGTGTTGACAGAGAAAGGTGCCGTTTTCTATGTCCCAATCAGCAGAGAATTGCCGCGGCAAGTTGGCATTTTCACCTGGCAGCATACCTTCACCATCCATATGGCCTCAGGTCATATATGTGTATTGATTTTTTTACAGAGAGGAAGGGAGAGGGACAGAGAGTTAGAAACATCGATGTTTATCGATCAGCTGCCTCCTGCACACCCTCTACTGGGGATGTGCCCCCAACCAAGGTACATGCCCTTGACCAGAATCGAACCAGGGACCCTTCAGTCTGCAGGCTGAGGCTCCATCCACTGAGCCAAACCGGTCAGGTCTTTATCGTCTCTGGTTCCGCTCCTGCCTAGACCCTAAGTACCACACTCGGTGGGAGACAGAATAATCCTCCCCAGGAACCTGTGAACCTTCAATTGCTTGGCAAGTGTAACTGAGAACTGAGTTGGCCAGCCATCTGACCTTTAAGGACAGGGATTATCCTGGATTACCTGTAATCTTAATTCCAATGAGAAGGAACCTCACCAGTACAACAGGGGGCGCAGAAGAGCGAACCCCCGAGATGGCAGTGTGCAAAGAGCTCAACCCAGTGCTCCTGACCTTCCACATGGAGGAAAGGGGCCGCACGCCAAGGCATGCAACCGGGCACCACAGCCTACGGAAGCGAGGAGCGCCGGTTTTGTGGGCTTTCAGTGCAGTGCCGGGGGTGCTTTTGCGGGGGGCAATGTTGAGGCGGTTTGGCGACGCGCACGGCAGGCCTACACGCCAGGGCCAACCTCGGGGTCGGGATGTGTCCCTGAGCTTTTTAAAATCCGCCCCCGCTCGCGGGAGTCACTGGGAGGCTGGACGCACCCAGCTGCCGGGCGACAGGGCGAACGAACCTCCACGGACCGCAAGGACCCCGGTTTCCATCGGGTCGGGCCGCAGGGGGACGGCAGTCCTGGGACCCGTGGAGAGGAGAAACACCTCCCTCCGCTGCAGACCGGACCGGCCGCCCGGCTTACCGGGACTTGCCCGCAGCAGAGCACCGAGGCCCGCGAGCAGCATCACCGAGCGGATCATGCTGGCTCTTCTCCGCTCCGCAGCGTCCGGGCGTCCTGTGCAGCCGTT